CATGCATACTTGGCAAGTGCTGTACTACTAACCTACATCTCCAGCCCTGAGACTTGGTTTTAATGACTTCAATTTTGAAAACAGAATTTGAGTTTCTATTGATAAGATAGGAAATGTCTGAGAGAGGTAGTTTCCCTTTATTAGTTATTCAGATGTTCACTGTTATAATCAAAGCTAAGATTAGCAACCCAGAACACTTGAGGTCTGCTGCACACATGCACAATACCCATGACCAAGTGGCTTTATTCCAGGAATACCAGGGTGGTTTGACATTAGAAAACGAATTCCTAGGGGGGAATTCATGAAAATAGAAGGGCAACCAGGAGAGTAGAGGAAGGGGATCATAGGAGAGAGGAGGGAATATTACCTATATTGTTGCTCTTTTTAAGGAGTTTCCTCTTTTTGACTATAAAAGCAATATATGTTGGGCTGGGGGTATACCTCAGAACACAAGCTTAGCAAGTACAAGGCCCTGGGTTTGATTCCCAAAACACACACACACACACACACACACACACACACACACACACACACACACGAGAAGATATGTCTTCCGTAGAACTTCTGGAAATGTTGAAAAATTAAGAAGAAAACAAAAAATCCCTAAAAATCCCAGTGTCCACTGAGTTCTTCCTTCCTGGAGTTTCTGTTTTCTTCACAGTCTATTGTACTATTTTAGTACCAACAGAGGTTGGTGCAGAAGGGACTCAGGTGGGACCTGCCTGGGACAAGGTATTAGAGAACYCATTTTCTCTTGAAGCCTTATCTATAAATATTCCCTTGGGCTTTTCAGGACCTCCTGAAAAAGGATTTCTATCCTACTCCCTACACCTGTGGAGTATGGCCAGTCTTTCCTTCAGGACAATGAGTTGACATTCGAAGGGCATGGAACTAAGGAGAATATAACCTCCTGAATGACATCTTTTCTGTCATTTAAATACTAATTTCACAAACACGAGTTTGTTTAGAATGGTTTTTCAGAGCCATTTTTGCACCCAYATTAAGAACAAATGGATCTATGTTCCTCGAGAGAAGGGTAGTTGCAAGTGGATGATTGATTATTACCAGTTACATCTATTCATGCTGCTCTGGCACTTTTTTTTTAATGGCTGCATCTCTGTTTGCTCAAGGTCTGTTCACAAAAGACAGTCCCCATAATTTTTTGTCATTTTCCAAAAATTTCTTAGTGGAAGATTTGCGTCATCTGCCTGGAGAGACAGAGATGGAAGTCTAGCAGTATCTGTGCAAATGGCTGCCAGATGTCCCAGAGCAGATAGAGGTGCTGCTGTCTTCAGAATGAAAAATGCTAGAAAATGTTGCCAAAGCACCCAAGTCTAGCTGATAATACACATCTCCCAARAACTTGCTTAAAAACCAAGAAAACACTGTCAATCTAAAAACCAAACAACTCTTCCCAGAAACGAACCTCCTACATTTCAGTTTTCTACCCCAACACATGAATCTTCTTTATTATACTTTCAAATCTCATTAGGATGGTACACAGAAAATACCCCTTTGGACCATTTATTCCCTCCTTCAATAACCATTACAGAGCCCAATAGCTATAATGCATCAAATCCCAAACACATCACATACAAAGATGAACTTGTCACCCCCCCCACACACAYACGCACACTCTTTGATTCCAACTCAAGACTTCATCCTTTCTTAGCCATATTCATCTCCCTAATGCACAAGATGAAAGACAATTGCTTGTGTGAATGGGAGAGAAAAAATACCGTTCAACTTGGGAGTCCATCTTTAAGGTCTTCCACTGTTCACAGAAAGGTGGAGGCAGGGCAGGAGTATAGTGTTGGAATAATGCAGACTTTTTCAGACAACAATGCAAGGTGAGTGACAATATAGTTGGGTCATGAAAGCATACAGTGGGAGACTGGATGGAAAGAAGACCAGGAGGATTTTCTGCACAGTGACTGGACCAAGTACATGATTCATGAATGAAATGGGCCTACCTATGGGCTGGGGATGTGACTCAAGTGGTAGCGCGCTCGCCTGGCATGCGTGCAGCCCAGGTTCGATCCTCAGCACCACATACCACATACAAACAAAGATGTTGTGTCTGCCAAAAACTAAGAAATAAATATTAAAGAAATTCTCTCTCTCTCTTAAAAAAAAAAAATGGGCCTACCTACATAGAGGAGCAGGGATGGGTTTTACGTAAGAGCAGAGCAGAGGCCCGGTTTTGTCAATTTCTAAATGTATCCAGGGAATAACAACTTTGGGTTGTGTCCTGGCACTAAAGTGGAAACAGAGTGTGGGGATCTTGATTATTTGGCAGATGGTGAATGTCTAGAAAAACCAAGTCTAGGAATATAGAAATCTATTAATGCCTGCACTTTGTACTGCAATGTTGGTGATCCTGTGAATGGACAGCTCTTATAGAGGCAAAATGGATTTAGAAAATATTATGGAAGATCAGCTGAGAGATAAAAAAGAAAAGCTGTAATAATATTAAGTGCTATAAAGTAGATAATGGGTGAACCTGAAAATAAAACTTGGGATTTATTTTGTTTGTTCTTTTAACAAATAACTGAATACATTTCTCTTGTCTTAAACAAACAAAGCCAGGTGCAGTGGTACACACTTGTAATCCAGATACTTGGGAGACTGAGGCAGGAAGATCCTAAGTTCAAGACCAGCCTGGACAACTTGGCAAGAAACTCTATCTCAAAATAAAAGTGTAAAATGGGTTGGTGGTATAGCTCAGTGGTAGATTGTTTAGCTAGAATGCACAAGGCCCTGGGTTCCATCCCCAGTACCGTGGGGATGCAAAAGAAAAAGAAACAAGGAAACTTTCATCCTGGAGTTTTTCTCACAACTTGCCTGGAAAATTGATCCTGCCTGTCTTCCCCTCTGCAATCCACAGAAAAACTGGGCTTCTGCCTTCACCATTCCAGCTGAGGTGCAGGATGAGCTTCCAGATGCTCAATCTATCAGTTTTTAATTTTTAATATTTAAAAAATTTTAATAGGCATATACTTGGTGGACATATTTATGGGGTACAGTATGACATTCCACTTAATGTATACATGTATAAACGTGTGATAAGGTCAAGATAATTGGTGTATCCATCACTGCCAACTTTTATCATTTCTTTGTGTTGGGAMTATTCAATACTCTTTACTAGCTATTTTGAGATGTACAATTAATTGCTGCCATCCAACAGATACACTTTCCATTTCTTACCCCTCTGTACCTTCAGCACTGGACAGGGATGATCATTTTTCCAGAGCTCTTTCTCTACCTCTTCTTATCCTCAACCACTTATTCCTGTAACACCTATATTCCTTGTGGTTTTTTTTTTTGTTTTGTTTTGTTTTAGCTCCTCCAGAAGCTGTGCTCTAGTGACTCCCAGATTTCCATCTCCTCTTAGCCAGCTCTTCTGACTCTATAGTTTACCCAATTGCCTCCTAGACATCTTCACTTATTTTTCCCAGAGGCAGCTCAAATGCCACAGGTCTGAAGCAGAAATCATCCAGCTGTGTGACCTTGGGCACTTCAGTTAACTGCATTGGGCATTACTTCTACAACAAAGGCATTACTGATAGCCACCTGAYAGAGAAGTCTATTATAAGATTAAATAAAACAACAGAATTCTACATCAGGTACCCTGGCACACAACAGGTGACCTACAAATGTTAACCATTTTCCCTCAATCCTACTCCTTCCCATAAATTCTAGATGTCTCATAAAACTCTCATTCTGCCATTTGTTAAGCCAGAACCCTGGGCATCCTCTTTTACATCCTCCTTTCTTCTTCTTTTTTCTTTTGGTGGGTGGTGGTTACTGGGGATTGAACTCAGGGGCACTTGACCACAGAGCCACATGCCAGCCCCCCCCCTTTTTTTTGTCCCACTAAGTACCTATGTCTCTTCTCTGCTGTGCCACCACGCTTTCTCTGCCTCTGCTCTTGCTACTCTACACCATTCTTCAGAGAGAGCGCATTGCATGACACCACTCTCTTGTCAGTGGTTCCCCACCGCCTGTCTTCGGAAGGACAAAGGCTCCTCAGCACTTGGTCTTAGTCACTAAATTTCAGCTGGTCCTCCTTCATGGGAAGGTGATAACGCAGTTATCAGCAGGCTCCCCTTGGCTCAGAGGATCCTCTCCTGACCCTACCTCTCCTTTCAGCATGGGTGCCACTTCCTTTAGGAAGTCTTTCTGKACTTCTAGTTGGATAAATACCTTTCTTCTCTGCTTCCCAGGGCCCCTGTGTTTTATAACACTTTCCTCAACTTGCTTGTCCTTTCCACCAAACTGGGGTGTCTAGCAAACAGTAGGAGGAAAGTGAATCAGAGCAGTGTTTCCGCCGAAAAGGAAACTTGGTTTGAGCAACCAACGTCAAGGTGTCCGGAATATACTCCTCTCGTGGCACAAGAGGTTGCTTTATGCCTGCGTGGGTATCCAGAGCCTGCACGTCCTTCCTGGGATTTCTATCGCTCAGAATTAACCCGAGGGCAGGCACAGAGCTGCACGGGAAGAGGGTCCCCTCACCGTCCCCAGCAGTGCGCACCGGAGATTGTAAATTCGGGCGAGGTTAAATTCGGAGCCCTTTGTTCGAGGCAGCGGCGAGCCGTGCCTGCCCGCCCCGGCCCAGTGCAGGACTCGCCTGGGCACAATGGCACAAAAAAAAACGCACCCCGTGAGCACCGCGTCAGGCGGGGGCGCGCGCGCGCGCACCAAGGCCGGCTCAGCGCCAGCCTCGAAGCCCGGGAACTCGCGCTCCCCGACTCCCTCGCCAGGCCCGGCCTCGGTGCTAGGCGGCTTCCCGGGCCCGCGGCCGCTGCCGGCGGGAAAGCGCCCGGCGTCCCGTCGTCACGCGCCGGCGGCTAGGCGCGCGGCGCGGGCGGGGCGGGGCGGAGCGKGGGCGGGGCCGGCGCGGGCGGGAGGGGCGGGGCGGCGCCGGGCACAGGAAGCGCTGGGAGGCCCGAGCCGTCCCAGGGTGCCCCGCGCGGCGTGGACTCGGGCCGCTGCCGCCATCCCGCTGGCGAGAGGGAGAGAGAGGCCCGCCCGCTCGCCGGCTGGGCCAGTGTGGGCCACTGCGTGAGGGCGCGGGGGGCCGTGTCAGCGAGACGCAGAGCGCAGCCGCCACCCCCGAACGGACATGTTGGAGCCCAGCGCCGCTGCCGCCTCCTTTTCCTCATCCAGCAAACGGGACTGAGAAGGGGCCCGCCACCCCTCCGCCGCTGCCTCTGCTCGGCCGCTCGCCTCGCCGCCTCGGCCACAGCCCCTTCCTGCCCGGCCTCGGGCTCCGCAGCTCGTCGCCTCCCCCGCCCCAGGCCCGGCCGGTTCCTCGGCCCCGCTCCGCCGCGGCGCGAGGTCTATGTGACCGGCGGGCCCGGAGCAGCCGCCGCCGCAGCGCGAACATGGACGCCGTCAACGCCTTCAACCAGGAGGTGAGAGCTGCTCGGGGCAGGGGTGCGGGCCCGCTGCGGGAGCCGGGGCCCGCTTCTCCCGCCGCCGAGGTTTGAAGCTTTGGTTGGGGTGGGGACGCTTCCTGCCCGGGTTCCGGGGCAGCGGGGCCTGCGCGGAGCGGCCTGGCCCGGGAGAGGTCGCGGCCACCACGGGAGCTGACCCACACCCCTCCCCCACCGCCCACCCGGCGGCGACCCGAGCTGCCCCCTCGCCCCCTTCCGGCCTGCCCTGCCGACGTCGGCCCGCTGCCTCCGACTTCGCCCGCTTTGGTGAACCGGCGTTCTGGCTCCCGGCTCCCAGACCCGTTATCGGCTGCGCGGTGCCGGGAGCCCGTAAGGGTCTAAGAAAGAAGCGCGGGCGGCCGTGTGGGCTTGGGGGCGGGGGAGCTGGAGCTTCTGCCCGTCTGGAGCTGGCGGAGCGGCGGCCTCGGCCCTCCTGTTGCTCAGGCCGCGGCACGTTGGCGGCTGGACTCTGATCCCGGGTCGGGAGGATTTGGAGAGGGTGCTCGTCCCCCTCCTCCGAATGTCACACACTTGGGAAAGGGAGTTAATAAATGGAGGGGGGTGGCCTCTTACCTTTTCGAGTCTTTAACATAACCGTCTTATAGGCTCTATGGCCCCAAAGTGACACCCAAAAAGTTGAATGGGAGAGCAGAGTGTTTGCTCCGCCTTAGTCCGCTTGAAAGCCGGTGTTGGCCTCTAGTTCCCCACGCTCGCACCCGCCTCCCGAGGTAGTTAATCCTCTGCTCTCTTCTGCGGGAACATTTACATCTGAAAACCTCCCCAAACTAGGAACAAAGCTGACTGCCCSTTAAAGCTCTTTAGTTGTATCTCCAATCATCATCCCAGGTGCTCTTTTGGCCAATGGAGTTCATTTCACGTAGTGTATCAGAATGGATTTGGGAGRAAGGGTACTTGACCATTGATGCTTTCAAATGCAACTACAGAATAGAAACTATTGTCGCGGATTGATTTGGATTTTCTTTCTTTTTCAAACTGTACAGCCAACATGGAGGAAATACGATGTAGTAGTACTAGATGTTTTAATGTGACTTTAAAAACTTGCTGCATCTATCTCACGATAAGATTTTGGTAGTTCATTTGTTACAGTTATTATTAACTTTTCCAATTTGTAGTGCAATAATTTGAGACCTTCAAGTTAACACTCTTTAACACTCTAGTAGAGACCATTTATTGCTATGCAAATTATCCTAAAAATTATTTTCCTTCACCTAATGGATACATAAATGTTTTAACTACAGTAGTTGCAATTAGGATTGGGCAGTGTCTTGGAAAAGTTTAGTAGTGATGATTTTCAAAATAATATATTATTTACAATTTTTGGTTGCCAGATAATTTAGGATAATGCTCCAGATATTTCAAGGTTGGACATTAACTTTGTTTCCTGAAGGTAAAATTCCCTGGAATGTTGGCTCCATGAGGACAGGTGGTTTCTGTTCTTTTCTCTCTTTACTCCCCCACCATAGCAGGTGCCTGACAGATATTTCTTGAATGAATGGGACCTTACACAAATGGCAAAATGGTTGTTAAATGATTTTAAGCCCATTTTTTTCCCAAGATAAAAACTTAACTATTGGATTTTTTAATGAACAGGAGGAATATTTTGAGTGTATTCTTAGGATTAGAAGTATTTAATACTACAAATCCCAACATTAAGGACAATTATAATGCATCAATAAAAAAATGTAGGGGGTAAAGCATTTCTAATTTTAAGTATTTATGGAAGTTGGCATCAAGCATATTAAACACAGTATATTAACCCTAAAAAAGTGCAATCAGTAGTTGTTGCCTTGGAAAGCCAAAATAACATAGTATTGACTCCTTGAAAGGGGGAAATGGTTTGTGACCTTTTAAATGTGCTAAATAAGCATTTGCTTATCATTGTTTATTTTCCTTTATAAATTTTCTTTTCAGTTCCTAGTCTTTATTAACTACAGATTGCACTTATGTTAGGTGTGTGTTGTCAGTGTCAACTCTTTTCTGCTAAATGGCAACTTCTACTGAAATTAATCTGACTTTAAAAATTCATATTTTTGTGCCCTATGTGTGGTGCTTTCAACTGTTTCTCCTCRTTTATGAAGTGTTAATAATTAGTTCCTAGTAATCTCAAATCTCCCAGTTTAATCTTCATTTAACAAGCATTCAAGTGCCTGTTCAGCAGTGTCTGAAATAGTGTGAGAAGGTCTCTGTCATCTAAGTTTAATAGAAGTCACAAGACTTAGATAACTTTAATCTGTGGTAAAATAGCTGCAAAATGGCCATGGATGATCAGTGAAGGCTTGGGAAGAGAAGAATCTTCATTTTAGGATATCAGAAGGTATAGGAAAGTGATCAGAGGGCAATGGGGCTGAGAAATAGGTGAGTAGAAATTTGGCTCTGGAAGCTTTTAAAAAGTAGGATTCCTAAAGTAGTTTGGGGTCTGACTTATATCATGTCTGTCTAACGTTTAAGAATTTCATTTTTAGGGTATGAGTGAACATTGAAGATTGTAAAATAGTGGAATGATACAGTCAGAATTGTGCTTGATTTGTGGTGATATGTGTTGTAGAAAGCAAAGACTTGGGAAAGAYTGACGGGTTGAATACCAAAGTAGGAGAGGTAAATAAAATCTGAACTTGGAAAATTTAGTTCAGAATAGGAGGGGAAGAATATTGGCTAAAGTAATCCAGGAACTTTTATAAGTACCTTCTGCCTCCACATTCTACAAAGCTGACAGTAATGGTACCATTAATAGTAGAGTAAAACGTTGGAGAAGATGTGTTTGGTATATTTTTTTTAATATTATTTGGAGATGAACACACAGTATCTTTATTCATTTTTATGTAGTGCTGGGGATTGAACCCAGTGCCTCACACATGTGAGGAAAGCACTTTACCACTGAGCCAAATCCTCAGCCCCTGTGTTTGGTATTTGAAGAGGTTGAGTTTGAATTGTGTGTGGAACAGTCACGTGGATATTTTTGGCAAGCAGTTGGACATATAGGACTCAAATTTGGATGCAACAAAGAGATAGAGGGAGATTTCAGTTAATCACTCTCAGATGTGCCCTGGAGAAAATTTAGAGGGGGAGAGAAAAAAAAAGAATCCTTAATATGCCTCTGTGGCATGTCAGGCACTTTATGCATTCATATCTAATTTAATAGGTATGGATGTATACAGCCATTTATAGATAGTTACAAATTAGAAATACAATTTTTAAAGAAGTTAAGTAATAATTTACCCCAGGGCATACTGCTAACTAACAACAGAGCTRGGATTTGAATGCAGATCTCTCCAACTTAATTGGTGCCTGAAGATAATATTTTGTACAATTCCAGGGAAGTGGTCATCACAGGTTAAAGACTATAAAAGGTTAATTTTTTTTAGGGTAATAGGATTGGAAGCTTAGGGTTGAATGATGATGAGAGGTAAGGCATTAAGAGGTAGCAAATGTAATCTTTTAGAAGTTTGGTTTTAAGAATGGAAAAGTTGCTCTAAGGATGCAGGGGAAAAAGGTCAGTTAATAGTGTACAAAGCACTGCTACTAGTCAGTTTGTATGTTCATTGAGACTAGGTTTAGCCTTAGTAAGTGAATTCAGACCATTGCTTCTGTGAGATGAAAGTGGAGTCTAAGTATTTTCAGCGAAGGGAATGTAGAAAAGCATAGTTCAAAGCAACAAGAGGCAATGGTTAACTTAAAGCAAAATTGTGTATAAAAGAAAAAGGACAGATTGGAAGTATAGATAAAATGTCTATCTCTGATATAGAAGGAAAAGATGAGGAGAGTGAGGTTATTAGAAACCCATTTAACAGGATATTTAGAGAACTTTATATCAGGACACTATAAAGTGAGTGAAAAAGAATCAGATCAATTATGGCCAATACTTAATTGTATTCTGCTGTGTTTAGGCATTTCTTAATGTGAAGAGTTGGATGTTGTTGAAATGTTTTAAATGAATGGATAAAAGCTATAAATTAAAATAGTTGGTGATTGTTCTATTTTTGTATTTTAAAAAGTTGTAAATTCCTCTTTCATGCCTACTCCAACCCTTCTTACTGTCAGAGGCAATCAAAATAAYGATTTGGTGTTTTAATCTCTATGGAGATGTATAATTGATATATACTTATTTATATAGCAACTTTTCCCTTCTTAAAACCATATAATGCTGCTTTGCAGTGTAATTGCTAAAGTGTGCCTTTTTTTAATCAAACATTAATGACTGTAAAGATTTAGTTTATTTTTGCTGATAGACTGCAAAGGACTTTCTTAAACTTTATTATGTACTTTGGGTAGGACAGCTTTTATCAATCTTTTTGGCTTTTGACCCTTTTAAGTTCATAAAAATTAAGGACCACAGAGAGGTTTTTTTTTTTTTTTTTTTGTATCTGTGATTATCTATTGATATTTACCACATTAGAAATTTAAGCTGAGAAATGTGTTTATTAAAAAATTAATCATTGCATATTAATATAGGTAACATTTAAAAAGCATTTTTTTTTTTACTTGTAGGATAGGCACAATACCTTTATTTTATTTATTTTTATGTTGTGCTGAGGATCRAACCCAGTGCCTCACACTTGCTAGGCAAGCGCTCTGACACTGAGCTGCAGTCCCATCCCTTAGTATAGGTAACATTTTTAATAAAAAAATAACATTCCCCATCCAAAAATGAAAAGTGGCTTTATTTGACCTTTTTTGCAAATCTCATTTAAACTTTGGTTTAACAAAACCTGCATCCTTGTATCTCCTTTTTTATTCATTCTCTTGGAATAATACATCAGTTAGCCTCCTGAAAACACTGCTGTATACTAGTGAGAAAATTGATGAAAAAGAYATGAAATGTCTTAGTATTAATGTGAAAAAATCTTTTGATCTCCGAGACCCCAGGGGTCCTTGTATTACTTTTTGAGATCTGCTCTGAGATACAGTGCATATAATGCCGCTCTGCAGTGTAGGAAGAAAATGGGTTAATATTCCTTTTT